TGTGGCTTGTTTTTATTAAACGTGCTTTGTCTCCAGCGGCCGACTATCTGAAGTTGGAGGTGTTGACCTTGACACAGATGATTTAATTTGTGACCTTTGCTGTTAAGCTCAAAAGAGACATCTTTCAATACATACTGCATGTCCCATGATCAGTTTGTTCAATGAATTGAAAAGTAAAAAGTAACAACTATGTTGTTGTAATACGTTGATGCCCAATTTTGCAGGATAATTCCAGATCAATATAGTAGAAATGTGGCCTTGTGTTTGGCTACAGTGATGGGAAGGCCAGTCAGCCCCTGTGAGCTCAGTGAACACAAGCTGTGTACAAACACCAAAGGACAAAATGAAAAGAAACATAATTGCTTATCACTGTCAAAGAAAAAGAAAGGCGTGTACACAACAGAGTAGAGAATATAACGTCTGCAGTTTCACTGTTTGAGAGCTCTTGAGTTGTGCTAACTCATTGTGGACCTAAGAGAATCTGTTTGAGACGCACTGATGACACCGAAGTAGGGGCTTATACTTGTTGTGGGTGTTCATTTAGTCAGTGTCTATTAGCCGTGTTGTGATGTGTATCTGCAAAGTACTTTCAAATAAGACTACCTTGTAACTGAATTGTAAAAATGTTTGTCCAAATGAACGTTAGTCGTGAGGTGCACTGAAGTAAGCCGACATGTGAGCCACAGCAGGAGTTAGCTGAGGCAGAGGCAGACAGCTGGCCTGGCTCCAGTCCAGCTCCTACAGCTTTAGAGAGTGTTCTAATGGACGGTGACCCTCGGTCAAGAATTTCTCCTCGTGTCTGACCAATGTGAGGAGAGCAGCATGAAATACTTCCCTCTCTTAAGTGTGAAGGGGCATTTCTGTCTTCTTTTGAAACACTATAGTTCACAGGCTCTAAATCAGGTTTCATGTTGTCAGGTGTATTCTATTGTAAAATATGTGTTACTTACTGTATATAATAACTAACAAGTATTGTAACCTAGAGTAAAAAGTATATTCATATTGTCATTGACATTCACCATTGTCCATTTTCATAGAGGGCACTTGGTAGAAATGGGTTGTGTTTTGCCAAACAGCCGTGCAGTTGTATTAAAGTCCAACAAATGAGAATCAGCAGGAGTGGTGTAAATCTGTCATCGATGGGAACACACACTGTTATAATCACCTTCAGATTCTCCAGCAAGTCGGCTGCTTGTCACAATGACAAATATTGAATTATAAATCATGTCAGATAATGAGAGGACCAATGCTTTATGTGGTTCAACCATAAATCTCAATCTTAGGATGATGGCCAGAGCAGTTTTATCAGCAGAAATATTCAGTGGATGAATAGTGGATGAAGGCTCCACAGTTTATATTGGAGCCTTGGGTTTTCTGTGCTGGTTTTATCTACGTCTTGTCCATCCCAAGTGCCTGCATATACTGAATATCATAAAACGTCCAGCTGTCCAATAATAAACCATTGCTGTGGAGCTCTTGAAATGCATCTGGAGGTGAAACTGTTTCGACTGACTCCATAAATGTGAAGCTTGTACTGTATATGTTTTTGTAAGTCCAATGTCTAAAAAGGAAATACCACACACTGTACATTACATTTAGGAGGAAGCAATGTTTGCACGTCTTTGGCCGTATCGATAGGGAGAGGCAAGCTGACAGACTGTAGGGGAGTCTAACCCACTGCACTTCAAATTAATATACAAAGGTGCTGCTTGACAATCAGCCACACATAATGAGGTTGCATTACGCCTGATCCAGCGCTTCTTGAGGAGATTGAATAGTATGTGCTTGTGTCATGACTGATTAGACTACAGCCTGGATGAGTGCGGAGGGATGATGATGATAGCACATTGTAAAGGTCTAAAAAGAAAGAAGAAAAGATTAATGACACTGACGAATAGAGGCTTTGTGACAATACAGGCGCTCGTCTCATTGATTTAGGCGGATGTGATTGGGGACTTTCTAATCAGAGGCGTGTTTGTGCACATGTGATATGAATGCATTAAAAGTCCACAACAGTAATATGTGCAAAGGAGCTTCACAAAAACAACAAGATGAAAATGAGCCATAGGTTAACTGTCAAATTATCGATAACAAATGTGATGAAAGAAAGAAAACCGTGGCCGAGAGATCAGTTATGACAGACAAAGTATGTTAAGGCCTATTTTGCTACTTCAAATTTGAAATTGAAATTACAGCATGTCCATCCATCCATTTTCTTCCCCTTATGTATTTAATAATAATAGTTTTTGTTATTTTTTTTATTATATACATACAACACACAGGCCCAGGTAATCAGAGAACGGCAAATGATATTGAATATTTGCTAAAATTATAAACTCAAGTTGGTTTACCGTACTCTTTGGTGCCTTCCTCCTCCTCTCCTTTTGCATGCGTGCTGTGGACTGGTAAAAACTGTCCTTGTAAACGTAAACTTTGCAGAGAAAAGTCAGTGAGGAGTAGGATCATGGGAGAACAGGAGATTTGACAGGACACGGACAGGATGACCGGTTTGGGTCTGTTTTACGCTTCACTCCTCACACATTTTTTGCAAGGAGTCCTGTGAAGAAAATATATCAGTCCTCCATGTGTCTGTTCAAAAGTATGAGAGCATAATTTGCAAATGACAATAGACATCTACAGACCATAGTAAAGTATGTGGATGTAAAAGAGACTGTATGTTTTCGTAGTAGTAATTAGTTGTAGAAGCAATTAAAAAGAAGAAAGGAGAAAAAAAAACCAAAGCTGTATATTAAACTTGATGCAAATGAAGGCCCATGTCACCAGACTTTTGTCCATGGGTCTTTTTCTGACCATTGTATTCATTGAGATTAAGATTTCATTGACATCATATGTTTTCTTCTCCGTAGAAAAAAGGTGTGATCCACAGAGCACACCATAGCTTCACCTGATGTTGCCTCCTCTTAAGAAAAATATGTTTCCTGCCACAGAACAGTGAAGGCAAAGCAAAAAAAAATTCATTCAGACAAGAAAGTGCTGGCATCTCCATCAGAAAAAAAAGCATAATGCACCGTTAAACATTAGTATATTTAAACTAAAATGCAGAGAAACTAAGCATACGCTTTGTCAAATAGAATTGAATGAATGGCATCTGAGAATACATTTTTTAACATATTAGTACTATTATCAAGCTTTATTTCGAGCACAAATGTCCGTAGACTAAGCAATGTGCATGTTGTGAAGGGGTAATTACTAACTATTAAGCCCATCAAATAGAAATGGCTTTCAAAGAGCAAAAGTGCATTTCTGGCTCCATCTCTAAATGGTGTTCAGAGTCACACAGGGGTATATCACACAGTAATGACATGCTGGACCCAGGGTGAAATACCGACTGTTCATATAGAGCATGAAAGCGGCCAGTGTGTAATAAGCGACAGATGGGGTCTGGACGGACCAGCGTGTTGGGTCATTGGCCTGATTACAGTGATTTCACCCCCCACCGTACAAAGGGTGTATCCTTAACAATGATACAGTTTTGCTACCTGAGTAGAAAATCATGCTGCAGTGACAATAATTAGCCACTTATGGGTAAAGAAAACTAATGGGACGTGGGTTTGATCCCCCACGATTGATGTCATCTGCTGCCACTGATGTCTGCTGCCGTTGTGTCCTCGGGCAAGACACTTAGCCCCACGAAGACCAAGGCTGTGTCTTCGTTGTCGGAGCAGCCATCTCCCCGTGGACCCACCACTGCAGGAGAATCAGCGAGAGGCTGTGGATTGGCTGAAATCCTCCTAAAGGGGATGAAAATGAATTAATGAATGTAAAGACCGAATAAGGGTTTCCAAAGTCAACTGAAGAAGTTGTGTGTTTCTCTCTGACTTCCACTTTGACCTCTCACTAATTCAGACTGACAATAAACAGCTGAGGGGAAGGGAGTTTTAAATGACCTATGTGGTTTAGCTGAGCCACCCCGAGCCCTGTTCTAAAATGACGGGTCCATAGCAGAGTAATAGACTTAAGGCCAGGTCACCATCTCTTACTGTTTCACAAGACAATGCAGTGTTATAATATCATAAAGCAGACAATCGTTGATTTGGTGCATGTTGGGTAAATTGGCTGATCCACACTCATGGATATGAGTGTGGATAACCCTAACCCTAACCCTAACCCTTAGACATCAGTACTATACATCAACATAACTTTACAAGGACCAACAAAGCTTAAATAAATAATTCCCTCTAATAATAAAGGATTTTCAGATCAGAGTGCTCTCTGTTTTCCAAAGCTTAAATCATATGTCAAAAAAAAAAGAGAGATTATTTGGGAAAAATCTCCTCAAAGTAGAGTTTTCAGCTAATGCAACTCTGAATGGACTGGAGCTTAAACATAATTCTGATAAGTGTTGAACCTTAAACACTTCAGTTATGCACCTTTATGTAAAACATTAATACAAATAAAATTATTAAGCGTACTACAGTACAATCTCAATCTGAATTGGTTCAGTTTATCGCCTTTGTTTCACTTTGCTGCTTCAACAGCTTGCACCATGGCAACATGCCAGGTGCATACTCTGACTGTGTCTTCATTCTTAATGCCCAATCAGCCTGTCCACATGTGCCAAACATGTAGGTAATTTACCAGTAAGGCAAGGCAAGTTTATTTGTATAGCACAGTTCATAAACAAGGCAACTCAAAGTGCTTAACAAAACAAGAAAACATGAAATAAAAATCATACCTGATCACAGTACATCCAAAAGATTGAAGATTCAATCCTTCAGATATAGCTTCTTTGCAAATATCGTCATATTGGAAGAATGACTCTATTCAGAAGAACTAAAACCCTGCCTCCAGCCATAAGTCACAGGACTGTGTTCATAAGATTTTTTATTATTTTTTAAACCACCATTAATTTCAATTGCACAGTTAGACAGTAGCAGCAGCCAGCTCGACTGATTAACGCACAGCAAATTAAATGCCAGCGTTGTACATTATACTGTTGGTTATTTACAGCAGGATGGAGCTCGGCGGGTGGCATAATATCACTCGTGCGTCTCGTTTGCCTCTTCGGCTTCGCTCAGTCGCGGTGAGCAATAATGCTGCAGGACTCCCAGAGGTTTCTGTCTGTGACTCTGAGCCAGAATGACATTTCTCTTGACAAAACCAACAACACCCAGCCCATTGTCTTTGCCTTGACCCCCTTTGCTCTTCTGTTCACCAACGTGAGGAGGTTGGCATTAAGGGTAACGACTTAAACAGAAATGAACAACGACATTATTCATTTTCACAATTTTAAGTCAAAAATATGAAAGGGGTGGCCATCCATGAGTAACAGTAATTACTGTGGCTGTCGAACGCAGTTGAATGTAATTAACAATTTGGTCAGGCAAGCATATAATAAAGGTATACATCGAAGAGGAATACATGTTGTATGGAAGTATTGTACACATACTCATCACACATAGAGGAAAATATAATATTCCTTGTAAATGTAAATCAGTTTGAACAATGACTCTGCATCAGTCTCAGTTTAGAATCGTCCCAAAATACTAGAGCAAAAAAATAGTCACTCTCTCTCACTGTGAATGTGAGAGAGCTGTGTGTGATTGATCGCTGCGATCAAGTGACGAGCCGTGCTACACTGAAAGTAACAATCACAGAGTTACCGCAGATGCCAAAGTAACTCATTGCATTACTTGTTACTGAAGATAATAAGTCATCTTTATTTATATATGTATTTAACATATTTTTACAGACCAAGGTCACCCAAAGCGGTTTTCAATGTTCTGAGTCCGCATTATATTCAAATGCTGTTGGGTGAAAACTAACACAAGGTGAAAAACTAAAGAAAGGACTTGTAGGACTGTATAATAAAAAGTATTGTCCAAGGTGAAAAACAAAACAGAAATAAATCATGAACCAGGGCAAAAACAAAAGGACAATGACGATGGACTAACCTCAAATGGGGAAGAGCAGAAGGCACATATAGACACAGACATCGTAGGGCAGAGCAGACCGACAGGGGAACAGGACAGGAAGTAAAACAGATGAGAGAACTGATGTCAAAATAAATGTACCAATTAACTACAAATCCACACCATGACAATTACTCCCAACATTGCTTTTGAGTGCTTCCAATTCATCTTGTTTGAGTGCTCATTGATCCCACAAGTCTGTACTCTGTGTTGCATCGCTGACATTTCCCCCTCCGTGGAAGAAGGAATAAAGGTTCTTTCCATTTCCTTTCTATTTCATATACACAGTTATTCACATTTCCGTCCAAACAATCAAGATATCGACCGGTGGTAGCATCTAAATCTACATGCAGGCTGAGTGACAGATGCGGAGAACAGACTTGTTGGATCAGACTATAGTATGTTCAGACTTTGCCACCGCTAATAAGCCACAACTTTCCTCTCCATTGATATTGCCACGAGGGGCCCTGCCCAACGTCCATCTGGGCTTTTGCATTGCAGTAAGGCACCTCCTGACCAGTTTTCTGTACGACCTTGCTTTCCCCTGCTCGATGAATCTTTTATGAGCCTGGCAATGTGGGTTTCTGTGTAGAAGATTGGAATATAAATATGGCTGTGTGGTGCCTAGAGCTCCTCTTCTTTCCTGTGCTGATACAAAAGCTTTCATAAGACTGAAGGAGATTGGGCAAGCTGCTACTTGAACAGTGCCCTCCTCCCATTTTATCACACCACTCATATGCGGGATAAGAATTACATGTGCAAGCTGACAGAGATTGTGCCGCTACCTTCTTCATGTCACAAAACCGGACACCGAACCACACTCCGGGGAAATCTGCTTCCTTCAGAGTCACACGGTTCATGCTTAATCTCACTATAAATCTCAGCTCTGTTAAGGAAGTTTCTCGGTGAATAAATGCATCCAAACAAATCTCAATTGTGACAAAAGCAATGGCTACTATGCACACAGAGGATTGGCGCTCAGTAGAATGTATGAATATCTTAAATATCTATTTCTACATAAAAATTAGTGCACGAAAAGACACCCAAATGGTACTCAAGGTATTGTCTACCTATTGGTACCCAAGATCTACTAATATCTATCTGTTCATTTGAGAACATATTGGTGTTTTGACTATTGAAATTATCTAAAGTGATAGAAAGTCCAAATTTCAAATTGACTAATGTGGAACAGCATTCTCTCACTACATTGTAATTATTCATAATAATCTGTTTATAGCCAGAGTCGCAGCATCTCTCTCTCTATGTCTATTGAAAACAGTGACAAACCTTTCACCTTTTGGAAGTGAAAAAAAAGCACACTCTGCTGTGTGGCTAATGGCATCAGGACGCGTTCAGTTGGATGTTCTGTCGGCGTGGCACTGTCGCAGCCTCTCACTGGAGCCATTGATGAGCGGGATACTAGTCTGTGCCACTTGTGCACCAAGGCTTAAGGCTCCAGTCAGTCTCCCAGACACGACTGCATATCAAGCAGGCAGGCGGAGCAGCACCGACCGGCTGCAAGGAAGGTACAGCGGCTTTGACGGAGACACTGGATGTGGGAGAAGAGAGATAACAAGATGCTCCAGAGAAAAAAACAGCAGCTTACATTGCATTAAGCTGCTTGATTGGAAAATAGAGGAACGTACAAAGTGACTACACGCTCAATTTATACATGGAACCAGAACAAAACGATACGGCCGCTGAGTGGGTAGTACTCATGATTCGTATAAAAAAGGTTGTGGGGTCAGTCCCGTGTCAGCACAAGCCTTTCTGTGTGGAGTTTGCATGTTTCTCCCTGTTTCTCCAATCTATTCTGCCATATTAATATTTCAGCTAATATAGTTAGTTTCATTGCAGCTAAATTGGAAAAGGTTAGACGTGGGACAGATATGACACTGTTATTACAAAGATCACATGTATTTAGCAACATTAGTTTTAGCTAAGGAGTGAACAAATTTTGCCTCCGTCAAGCACAGATGTGTCTTCAGACCGCTCCTGCTTCTGACCGCTTGCTCAATCTTGTCTTTTGTCTTTTTCCTGGAGTTTTTGCCACAGACAACTCTAACAAGAATTATGGATATCATTAACTGGTCCCTCAACGCAATTGACACTATTTTTTCAACACGTAAGCGAGGACCGGGGGAGCCTCTGTGCCCAGACGGGATTGCACCTGCGGGTTATACTCTTGACAGCTGGGGCAAGTTGAACCCGATATGTTTGTCGTCTTTGTCTATTGAAGATTCGGAAGACGTATATATCTTTGGATTTCTGGTGGTTGGGATCCCTCTTTTCGGGTTTTGAGTGGTCCTTTTCTACCGCAAATTTGGAGGGATGGCAGCCCATAAAATTCACGACATGCTGTCAAACTAAATTGCAATGCGCTCACTTGAAGAACATAAGACACGTGAGATGCGGTCAGGCTTGAACTCTGAGCCCGCATGGATAAGCCCCTGTGTACGGAGGTACTGAGGGCACCGCAATCCCCCCCCCCCCCCCCCCCCCCCACCTAGCCCCCTCTGACGGCCCACATTGGCGAAGGGTGGTCGGAGTTTATTTCCATAATAAAAACGTCCGTGTTTTATCCAAAACACAATGTGTCTTATCCAAACTGTCTTGTGATATGTATCTTTCTGCTCTCTGCTGTTTATTCTACTATTTGTCGCATGGCGCCGTAAAGAGGGCGCCGTGGCAGGAGCTCTGGGGTGTACCGTCTTCTCTGTCTGGTGCACACTGGGGTAGTCTTGCACAGTTTTTCCAATGTGGTTTTACTGCAAATGGCAAATGAATGAATCTTTATCTGAAATATATCATTTTTTAAGCAGCGCTGACAAATAGTTATACCAGCAATGCATACATATTATTTTATTGTTTATTTATTGTCATTCTAAAAAGGCACACACAATTCCTATGTTATGATGTGCACAATATTGATGTCTGCACAAAGAAGTCAAAACAACCATTTTCCAATTTAAACATCCGGCGGTGAGATGTGTGTCTAAATTACCACTATAATTGGCAAAGACAAGGTCGAAAGCGTTGAAAAGAGTTGAAAGTCAAGTTAAAATGACCTGGCAGCACAGGGCGGTCAGTGTGAATGGAATGGGCGACCCAGAGTTTTTGGTCGAAACCCCAGATTTTTGGTCAGTGTGAAAACCCATATACAGTACATCTGTAGGGGTCGAATCCTTTAACCCCTACAGATGCTGATGCTCTGTTTGGTAGTCATGACCAAACCAGCATCTGGAGACGGGTTCCAGGGTGCTGCACTGCGGTTGCCCTGGTGACATGAAGGATAGTTCAAATGCAGCGGACAAATGTTACTACGGGGACAATAAAGTATGCCACACCATAAATATTTAGGTGAGAGAGGTAAGAGAATGTAAAACTTGCAACAAAAATCAATATACTCCTGTGGAAAGTCTTTGTAAGATTAAAATGTCCTTACATCAGCAATATTTTTTTTTTTTTTTTTTTGATCAAGTATTTATTGTGTTGCGCTGCATACAGAGATGACAATGGTCACGGAACAGAAAACAAATGCGCGAACATTTTACATTTTTGTCCCCTCCCTCCCATGGGTCCACCCATCCCAACATAAATACACAAACACACACACACACACATGCACACACCCAGCCCCGCTAACCCCCCCCCACCCCATTCTCCAGGCATCAATAACATTTCATTATTTACAGACACATAATATGGCGAACTTCCTCCGTTATGAACATCCACAGAAGCCGCAGTGTTTACATAGTCTTATGTAAACAATAATAAAAAATAAAAATAAAAATAAAAAAAAAGACAAAGCCTTACAGAAAGGGTAAATGAAAATAAATCAGCAATACATCAGCAATATTAAAGGATTTATTGTAGGTAAAAAAGTTAAAAATTACTCATGGTTTTTATCAAACTTTAATAAGTTATTTTGTGAGTATCTTTATATATAGCTCTGTTCACAGAAATAATCAGAGCTAATTGCTTAATGTATATCTACTGTTAAAGCAACATGAAAGGTCAGGGTAAGGCAAAGGGGCAGCAGCCCAAAATGTTTGCATAAATGTGTGCATGTACATTCCATGCAGACACATGCAATCTGGAAGATTCAAGGCACAGTAATGAATCAAATGAGCGGAGTAAGTAAAAACAAAAAGGTGATTGTGTACATAGTTGCAGGCAGAGGTAAACAGACTGTGCCAGGAGAGCTATTGTCTGAGCTTTTGGAGGAACAGGGAGAATAATAATGAGCGGTCTGTGGCTCCTTCACTCTGGGTTAGTGTCTCTTTGACATCGACACTCTTCTCAGACTGTATTTAATTAGCTTCACAATGTTTAATCAATACAGACGAGATGAGGACAAAACCGTGACATGTGCCTCCTGATGCTTTGCTGTGAAGCAGCAGGAAAGTCAAAGGGGACAACTGAAAATCAGACAAGAAAATCCCAAGCTCAGACAAGAGAAGGAACAAGAGTGATGATGGTGATACTTTAAGGACAATCGCACCGCCTCAATGAGAACTGCATGGAAATAAATCACATTTCTACTTAAAGAACAGTCTTATATAAAAGCAGCTAACACACAGTTAGCCTAATGCAGGGAGCATTGTTGTTTTGCAGCTCAGTTGAATCCATCAGCCGCACTAATGGTGAAGTGTTGAATAGGTATTCAACGGAGGTCTTCCTCTTAAAGCCTTCTGCCTCAGGCTCTGGCCTCTCAGGCCCTGCTCTCATCTCCCTCTGCTCTTTCCAACAGGAACTCTACCAGCACTTTGACTCAAACTTAGAATATCAATGTCTGCATCTGCAATGTGTAAAACTCTCCTTCTGCTAGACATGAAGCATGGGGAGGATGTTGCTTTCACACTGTGGCTAATGCATTGGAAGGATATTAAAGGAAAACATTGAACAATTAACAATTGAATAATTGGTCTATAATCCTGCTATAAACGCAGGTCTCTGTGTTCTCCTGATCCTTTAAGTTTTAACAATGGACATTCATACACAAATGCTGTACAGAAGAGGGTCCTTGAGAGGGGTTCATTAAAATTTAAATGAGTGATTTAATCAGTGGGTGGCAGAATGTCCCCACGATGTGTCACTGTCTCAGCGCTCATTAAATATAGTTCTGTCTGTTTAATCCTAGTCTGACACCATTTCAGAGAGGTCTCAAATATGTTACATTGGACAGTGTATTTGACATCTGGCTGATTACAACAAGAAGAGCATATTCACTTGTTGCTAAATTCATCAAACAATAAAGCATTTGTATGTAAGTAAGAGAGTTATCTTTATTTATATAGCGCATTTTTACAGACCAAGGTCACCCAAAGCACTTTACAACGTTCAGAGTTCAGATATTGTCCCATTCTCTCCACGCGGTGATGACGGAAGCGAGACGGCGAACACACTGACGCATCAAAGCCCCAGTGTGTAAGATAATACTTTTTAAATTCCCTAATAGTAAACATTAAAAAACGCACATTTAGGAGCAATCCTCTCTCATCAGCTTTCTGCTTGAACAGTAGACAAATTAAATATCCCTTTTTGTTGTCACACACAATGAGCACCCATGTTATTAATGAGCTCCAGTGATGAGTGCAGTGAGAGTAAGAGGCCTTCACAATGGCCACTGAGAACTGCTCCAGCTAAAGACACTATTACATCACACAGCGACACCTGACCATATAACCTATAGCTGCCTGAAAAGCAATTTCAAGGAGTGAGCTGAATGGAGGAGATAGCAGTGGCCCAGTCTCTGATTCTCTATAGTGTTAATATTGCTGCGGTGTAGAGCGGTCTGTCTCTGCTGTGAGATTGAGCGTGATGATCCAGTGCCGCCCCCTGTGGTGCGGCACCAGCC